AGTCAGAGAGGGAGACGAGTGGAAGACGGCCTCCCTCTGTTTTCCAGGCTTTCATAAATGAGGTACTGCGGGATATGCTAGGGAACTTTGTCATTGCATATCTAGATGATATTCTCGTTTACTCACCAGACCAGGAGACTCATGTGCAACATGTCCGTGCAGTGTTGAAGAGGCTATTGGACAATAATCTATATGTTAAAGGAGAAAAATGCGAGTTCAACTTGGAGTCTGTCGACTTCTTAGGATATGTCGTTAGTAATCAGGGAGTGATCATGAATGATCACAAGGTTCATGCAGTGGTAAATTGGCCCGCTCCCACTTCAGTCAAGGAGTTGCAAAGATTTTTGGCATTTGCAAATTTCTATAGGAGGTTCATTAGAAATTTCACAGCTCCCCTTACTTCCCTATTAAAAGGTTCGCCACAAAAGATCCGATGGTCAGAGCAAGCAGAGGCTGCCTTTCAACGTCTCAAAGCAGCTTTTACCATGGCTCCCATTCTCAAACACCCTGATCCTTCTCAACCTTTTGTGGTAGAAGTGGACGCATCAGAGACTGGCGTAGGAGCAGTTTTATCGCAGAGAACCGAGTCCCCTCAGAAATTGCATCCGATAGCCTTTTATTCCCACAAGTTGTCGCCAGCAGAAATGAACTATGGTATTGGTGATCGAGAATTATTAGCGGTAAAACTAGCCTTAGAAGAGTGGAGACATTGGCTTGAGGGAGCAAACCATCCTTTCACTGCTCACTGATCACAAGAATTTAGAATATCTTAGGAGTGCCCAGAGATTGAATGCTTGTCAAGCTCGATGGTCACTGTTTTTTGCCCGTTTCAATTTCAGCATCACTTATCTACCAGAATCTCGTAATACCAAGGCCGACGCTCTTTCCCGCATACATCAAAGAGACAGTGTCAACACAGAGCTGGAGGACACTAAACCCATTATACCCCCAGAAGTGATCCTTTCATCGATACGCTGGGAAATCAATGATGATATAGAAGCTGCTTTAGTTAACACTTCCATTCCTAATCAGTGTCCTACAGGAAGACAGTATGTACCCCCGGAATGTCGTAATAGATTGATAACTTGGGCCCATTCATCCCTTACTTTGGGCCACCCTGGGGAGACACGAACACATCAGCTATTAGCTCACAGATATTGGTGGGAGTCTATGCTTAAAGACATCCATTCTTTTGTTCAGTCATGCTCCGCTTGCTCACAATGTAAGACCCCGAAAACCCTACCTGCAGGCAAGCTAATGCCCCTTCCGATACCTGCCAGACCTTGGTCTCATGTAGCCATTGACTTTGTGACTGACCTTCCAGATTCACAAGGTTTTAACACCATTCTTACAGTGATTGATAGATTTTCAAGGGGAGTCAGATTCATTCCATTCCAAAACATTCCAAGTGCTTTCCAGACTGCTGAAGCCTTGTTGAATCATGTATTTAGGCTGTTTGGGATCCCGGAGGACATTGTTTCTGATCGTGGGTCACAGTTCACGTCTCAGGTATGGACTGCATTTTTTGAGCACATTGGAGTATCTGTTAGTTTGACCTCCGGGTATCATTCACAAGCTAACAGACAGTGTGAACGTATTAACCAAGAGCTAGGCAAGTTTTTGAGAATTTTTTGCTATGACAACCCTTCTGATTGGTATAGGTTTTTAGCCTGGGCCGAAATAGCCCAAAATTCTCTAACCAGTTCTACCACAGGGATGACTCCTTTTCAGTGTGTTTTGGGCTATCAGCCACCCTTAGCACCATGGACGGGGTCAGTGACAGAGGTTCCGGCTGTGGATGACTGGATGAGCCGGAGTGAACAGGTCTGGGAACAGACGCACAGACGCATAGAGACTGTCCTACAAAGGAACAAACGACAGGCAGACCGGCACAGAGGTGAAACACCTGTCTACCAACCTGGTGATTGCGTCTGGCTGGCCACGAGAGACTTTCGCCAAACGGGGGGAAGTAGAAAGCTCCAACCTAAATATATTGGACCATTTAAAGTTGTTAAAAGGATTAACGAGGTGACTTATAGGTTAGAATTACCCCCAAGGTTTAGAGTTTCACGGTCTTTTCATGTGTCCCTTCTTAAACCTGTTGTTGCAGGCCCATTGGACGAGGTGTCGCTGGACGTCACACCACCCCTGCCGGAGGTGATAGATGGGGCCCCGGTCTATGCTGTTCGGAGGTTGCTGGACTCCAGGAGGCGGGGTGGACTGTTGCAATATCTGGTGGATTGGGAGGGTTACGGTCCTGAGAAGCAGAGTTAGGTGCTGGCTTAGGACGTTTTGGATCCAGGTCTCGTCGCAGACTTTCACAGCCAGCACCCAAGAAAAGACTGCTCCACGTTCCAGGGGTCGTCCACGTAAGGGGCCCCCTGCCTCCCTTCCGGCGCGTTTGCGGAGACACCGTGATCAGACCCCGTCCGTCCAGCGCCTCGATGGTTCTGGTTCCGCCCCTGTTCAGAGGTCCGGTGGGGGGCTCGGTGGTTGTCCTGGTCGCCCTCATACCAAGGCCCGCCAGGACTCTTTGGAGGGGGGTAATGTCACGCTTCCTGCCACTCATCAGACGGAGCTAGTTCCCTCGCTCGCATGTTCTGAGACGAACTCCATTTCGCAGACTCCTCAGCAAAGTCACATGACTCCGGAGAGATCCTCATCCTCCAATCAGTGCTCAAGTTCGCCGGAATACTAATGTTTTGCAGCTGTTTTAGATAATATTTAAGCCCGGGCTTTAGTTAGAATCTTTGCAAGGTATTGCTTTCTTTATGAAACTACTGAGCGTTTTCTTTGAGTGTCTTCCTGTTTATGACTTTATTCTTCTCGTGTTCTCTGACTCTGTTTTTGGATTTGCCCTTTTGTACTTCTGCCTGGTTATTCGGATTGGTGATTTTGACCCTTTGCTTGTTTTGTGGAGTTCAAACTGGTTTGCCCTTTTTTGTTATGGTAGCCATTCTCATCTTGCTGTGTTTTTTGGAACTGACCCATGCTCGTTATCTGACTACGGTGTGCATCCCTGATTCCCCAAGTAAAGCTTCCTTTTTGTCTTTAAACCGCGAGCATCTGCTTTCTGTTCCAACGTTACAAATTGTTATTTCACTCATTTCGTCTGAATTGTAAGTTCTGTATAAGTTGTATTGACAATTAAAGCAATCGCTTCAAAATGCTTTTTGGTGTAACCAGTTCATGTCCACATACTGGTGAACACAGGTGAGCTTTAAGAATTGTTAAATTTAGAGGACATGATACATGACATAATATACCTTAGTACTGATTTCCAAAGAATATTTTTAGTTAACTTCAAAAAGCTTTGTTTAGTGAGCAAGAATGTAACAGTTATATAAACTACATTTCCTTTGTTTGTTTAACAAAGACATAAAAAGTTGGTACAACTCGTTTTCCTTTGTAAAACAAAAAAATAAAAGTCAGTACAACTCAAAGAGCTTTGCTTAAGAATAGTTGTATTTCTTTGTACAACAAATATTCTCATCTTAGCTCAACTAAAAATATTCATTTTATTGTTAACAAAAAAAATGTTAGTACAACAAATAATTTGTAAAAGTTGAGTGAACAAGAAAAAATTCAGGGAAATTCTGTACAAAGTTTTTTTTGTTGTTATATAAGCTATATTTTTTTATAGTGTGGATTCTATTTTTGCATTTTGTCTTTCTTATTGTGGAATCATGTACATTGACTGTAACTGTGGTAAGTGATGCCTGCAGTTCTTTAGATATTCATCTGGGCTCTTTTGTGACCTCCTGGATGCGCTCTTGGTAAAATTTTGGTAGGCCAGCCACTGAACATTCAGCACTGTTCCAAGTTCCATTTGTGGATAATGGCTCTCATTGTGGTTCACTGGAGTGCCAGAGTTTTAGCAATGGCTTTGTAACCCTTTCCAGACTGGTAGATTTCAATGACTTTGTTTACTTGGGTTATCTTTGTCTAATATTAAAAGTAGTTTGATGATCCGAAACATTCAAGTGTAACAAATATGCAATGTCTATGCATGCTTGGACATATTTGTGAGTGCATGTTTGATCTTTAACTCAAAGCATTTAGGCAGTGGAGAGAGGTATACTGGAAGCAAGCCAATCTAGGTCCCCCTTTATTGACTTGATAGCAAACAGTAACAGTTTCTTTGCCTATTGTGAAATGTATTAATTTATATCATTGTATTTATTAAATTCATTAAAAAAACATTTATACAGTTTATATAAACTGGTAAAAAACAACAATATTTACTTTTAATTACACTATATGCCCAAACGTTTGTAGACACCTGTCAGTTCAGGGGGCCTGTAAGATTTTAGGCATGTTGGAGTCAACGCCAATTCCAATTTCAAGTGAAGGAAATGAATGGATACGATTCCATAAAACAATTTTCACGAAAAAAGTAAAACATGGAAGCAGAGCTGACAGAATAAAAAGTACAATAGCAAGTGTATGTTACATTATTATGATTGATGGTATAAATGATAAGATATATTAACTTTAGTTGTTACCACAGTTGTTCTTCAGGGATACAATGTCAGTGACTCATGGCAAGGTCGTTTTGGAGAGATAATGCTAGCCAAATTAACATAGCTGACAAACAGGGGCTAGCTAAATGGTATCTGATTTTTTTTTTTCATCAGCTTCAGGTGGATAAATGTTTCAGCACTGGCAAAGCTGATGTCAGGCCCAGTGTTGTGACAAATTGTACATTTTACTTTGTTTTTCATTTTTTCCAAAGCAAAATACAGCTAGTCTAAAGATGTATGTGTTGTGGAAGCACATGTTTTTCAAGAAGACATGCAAAGAGTAACAGAGAAGAATTTCTCACACTCTGTGTGCAGGCGGCTGCAGGCAAGCTCAAATGTGTGGAATCCATCAAATTAGTATTAGATTCCTATCTCTGTCCACCAAGGCTCTATGGTATTATAGGTCAATGGATGCAAGAATATGTTGAGAAATATTACTATTATACACTAAGTGAACACAATAATGAAGCCACTTACCGAACAGAGACTCACATAGGGTCTCTTGAGGTCAATACCTAGTAAGTTCCCCAGGATAGGCAGTGGCTTGGGTCCTGGGGGTTCCTTCCATTGTTGCTGAGAGCTAGAGCGAGAGGAGCAAAAATAAACAAGTGTCAGAAGCATCACCACAGCACCAAGCAATATGCTTCTGCTAGTAGGTTGCAGGAGAAGCTCTTCCACCAAAGCCATTCCTAAAAAGATGTCCTGTGCAAAAAAAGACAGTTTTGCACAAAATGGGTACAAAATAATGAAATTTTCAGGTAGCAAGTGGTATTTAAGGGGCCTGAAATGCCCTTAATATCAGTTGTCAGGGAGTGGTCAGGAACCAGGGGTGGAGCTACATTCAAAACTAGGGCAATAGGAGAAAGTTTGTAGTACCCACTGAAAGGATTAGTTAGCTAAAATCAGGGAATATATAGTTAGTTCACATGGAGGATTTTTTTAGTTTTAGCAAAAGGTGTCAAAAAGTGCCAAAGTGGAATTCCATGTATTTCCAGATTCCTATCTGAGAATATCTATAAGCTAAAGTGAGACACAGGTCAAAGATTAACCTAAGGTATACTCTGTGCTAAAGAACACAGAGTACTTATGGAATTGTGTCGCTTGTACAAGACACATGCACATTACAAATTGTTTAGTTCAGCATGTTTTGTATGTTCCAGTTGTATGGAATCCAGGAAGAGTCACAGCACTTATAGTGGTATACTATAAAATGTGGAACAGGGCAGAAGCTGATTCAAAGTCTTTTTAATTCATTTGAAATATGATTGAACTGATGTGAAATATTGCTTTTGCTCATTTAAACTTAAATGTTGCTTTGCATCGTTTCATTCAAGATTGTTAATTGAGTTGAATAAAACCAGTTACTGCTTGTTTCAGCATGAAGGTGCCATAGAATGGCAAACTCTATTTACATTGGCATTGTTGAATAAGGAGAGCTTAGTACATGGAATTGACACACGTGAACGTCAAACACTGCTGTTTCCTTCTTCAAATACAAATCCTGCATTTGCCAAAGGAGGGCATTAAATGAACCAATTCCAAAATCTTAAACTGTTATATAACAGTCTTGACTCATTAATATTTACACCTCAAATTTTACACACACCAGCCCACGTTCTAGCCCAGCAGGACACGACAACAGAGCAACAGTAATGGAAATGGTGGAGTATTTGCAGAAATTTTACTATTCAAAGCTGTGAAAGGAATTTTTATATTCTTCCTAAGTAACTGAGCTGTCAACAGACATGGCCGGTGATCATCTCTACATTGCAAAAGTTGGCTTCCTATCCAACTTTTTAACTGTACGTGTTCCATTCCATCTTAAATTCTACAGCTTGTATAGGTGCCAAAATGTAACTGCAGCACCTTTTAAGGTGGAACAGAAAATGCACAAACCAAGTTGGTGAACAGAAAGCCAACTTCAGCTGCCTCATGTTTAACAGGATCCAGGACAATTTGAATTAAAAGTTGTTAGTTTGCTCTGCATATTTCACTCCAGACAGCGGTTTCTCAAACCTGAGACTGAAGAGAAGGGTAGTTCCAACTTTATTAGCATCACAACCCTCAACCCCAACTGCAGCCTCTAAGTAGCAGCCATGCTGTGGGAGTTTATCCATGTTTTGATGAAGCTAGATCAGCTAAAACTGAGTTTTGTAGTGAGTGAACAACTTTAATTTACTTTGTGTTGCTGTCGAGATCGAAAGCAAGTAGCAAGTACAGGTAACACTAGCTACTAGCCAGCTCCAAGTAACTAGCATAGCTAACTAAATAGTATAACAACCTAACTTATTTACATAGAGGTTCATTTTCTTTTTCTGCCTGTGTCTATTTTGACATGTTGCTTCTGTGTGAGCCATCACAGTGCTCATCAAAATCAGTCAGTGAGAAAGTATGTAAGTGTAAGTATAAGTGCAGAAACCCAAGTCAAGTATCAAGTCCTAGAGACGTGTTTGATTGTTTTAGTCCAAAAGCCACTCCTGTGGGGTTAATTATGTGCCGAAAGTTCCAAACTAAATAATAAAATCCACTTGAAAAACATTAAGAATCAAAATACGTTGCAAATACAAATTAGAGTTAAATTAAACTTCATTTTACAAAAAGGTTACTATTCATTTTTTCCCCATTCTGATAGAAATTTATTATTCATTTTGTCAGTTTTTGTATGAGGAGGTGTGGTTGTTTTGTGCTTCAAACCTTGTACTGAAGTTGTTGAGTGCATCTGGGAGCGAGGCATCACCATCTCAGACATGTGATGTCACTTGTAGTCAGTGAGTGTGTTTACATGCACTTAATAATCTGATAACTGCAGAAAATCAGATTTTGTCAGTAATCCGATCAACATGTTTACATGCACTTGAGTAATCAGATAATGGGAAAATTTTGGGTTTATATGAGTCAGGCAGTAATCAGATTTTTGCAGGCAATTAACTCACAGAAGAAGAAATGTAACATAAAACTCAAACTTCATGCTGCGTTTTTTTTTTTAAACAGCGCACAACTTTATATGAAAATATGCACACACATCGTTCGGAAAATGAAGAGTATTTAAATCCTTTATTTCGTGTTTGGTTTCAGCGCCTCTCCAAAAGTGTTTTGCTGCCATCTCGCAACATCCACTGTCTGTTCTCACGCATGCACAGACTAAGATCTCTGATAGAAATCAGAGTATGAGTATACATGCACTGAGATTGCTGAGCTAAAATCCAGCTCTCTTTGTCAGATTACTAGATTAGAGTATGGTGTTTACATGACCATTTAAAGTCCAAAAGCTGCTAGGGATAATCTGCCTATGTTTACTCTTAATCTCAATAGTTTCTCAATTGCACCAGGCACATCTGTAAAAAGCCTTGGTGTCACGATCGATCCCGATCTGGCCTTCGATGAGCATATTACCAATATTACCAGAATAGCTTTCCTCCACCTGCGTAATATCGCTAAATTAAGAAATGCACTGTCGCTACAGGATGCAGAAACGTTAGTTCACGCCTTTATCATGTCCAGGTTAGATTACTGTAACGCTCTGCTTTCTGCTTGTTCCAGCCAAAACCTTAACAAGCTTCAGTTAGTCCAGAACGCTGCAGCTAGAGTTCTCACCAAAACCAGGAAATTTGACCACATTAGCCCAATTTTGTGTACCTTACATTGGTTGCCAGTTAAATTCCGTATTGAGTACAAAATTCTTCTACTGACGTATAAAGCTTTGAATGGCCTTGCTCCTCAGTACCTCAGTGACCTTATTTCCTATTATCAACCGACACGCCCACTTAGATCACAAGGTGCGGGCTCATTATTAGTACCCAGAATAAATAAAGGTACATCAGGGGGAAGAGCTTTTTCATACAAAGCCCCACAGCTTTGGAATAGCCTACCAGTCTGTGTTCGGGACTCAGACACAGCCTCCATCTTTAAGTCTAGGCTAAAAACTTACCTGTTTAGTCGAGCCTTTGGTTAATTTGTTTTCCTAACTATCTGTCCCCCTCTCTTCCCCCCTCCCCCCTATCCCCCCCTCTCTTCCCCCCTCCCCCTCTTGTTCCCTGAGCTGAGCAGCTGCCCGTCCTAAGAGGGTCTGACGTGACTGATGCGGTCGGCGCACTGCACAGAAGTGTAAAACTGTATCCACTTATACTGTTTTGTGTCTGTGCTGTTATCCGGTGTCGACCAGAGGAGGATGGGTTCCCCTTTTGAGTCTGGTTCCTCTCGAGGTTTCTTCCTCCTGTTGAGGGAGTTTTTCCTTGCCACTGTCGCCAAGGCTTGCTGACTGGGGGCGTGGACCCGGATTCTCTGTAAAGCTGCTTTGTGACAACATCTGTTGTAAAAGGCGCTATATAAATAAATTTGACTTGATTTAACAATTGGATAACTGCAGAAATCTGGTTATGATCAGATTAATGAGTGCATGTATACACACTCAGTGATGGCCTGAATGCCCTGCCCCATATGCTGTGTGTCTTTGGTGTCCTGTAAGTATCAGTAGATTCTCTGTGCTTAGTTGTGCTTTGCCTCTCTGATAGCTTGCCTCAGATCAGGTTCTCACATGTTTCAGAACCGGTTTGGCATGCTTGAGTAGAGGTCTGTATGCTGGAATTATCATGACAGTGATGTGGTCTAAGCAGGTCTCAGGGCACAGTCTTGTGTGCTCCATGGATATTGGTGTGAACAAGATCCAATGTGTTTATTCCACAAGTCACAAAATCAACATACAAAATAAAGAATGTAGACAGCACCGACTTTTGCATGATTAAAGTCCCAAGCAACACTGAAAAATGCTTCAGGGTGTGCAGTCTGTAGGTCACTGATGGCCCCATAGAGTTGGTATAGTGTTTCCTTTGCTTTGTTACTGGGTGGAATGTACACTGTGACAATGAGCATGGTGGTAAACTGTCGGGGGAGATAGCAAACTCCTCATAAACTCCACAAGCTCTGAGCAGTGACTTGATACTACTACAGCCTTCATGCAACGTTGTTAGTGTAAACACACAAGCCATTTCCAAAAAAGTTGGGACACTGTGAAAAATGTAAATAAAAACAAAATGCAATGATGTGCAAATCATTGAAACCCTATATTTAATTGAAAATAGTACAAAGACAACATATGTTGAAACTGAGAGATTTTATTGTTTTTTGAAAAATATATGCCCCTTTTAAATTTGATGCCAGCAATACGTTCCAAAAAAGTTGGGACGGGGGCAACAAATAGCTGGTAAAGTTGTGTAATGCTTAAAAAAACACAAGGTGGTTAATTGGCAACAGGTCAATAACTTGACTGGCCATGATCTTTGGGCCCTCAAGCGGGACTGCATTAAAAACAGACATGATTCTGTAGTGGAAATCACTGCAAGAGGTTTAGAAAAACCGAAAAACACTGTCTATGAAAACAGTTCGGCGCAGCATCCACAAATGCTAATTAAAACTCTTAAACGCAAAGAAGAAAGCGTATATAAACAGGAACCAGGAATGCTGCCACCTTATCTGGACCCAAGCTCATTTAAAATGGACTTAGGGGAAGTGGTAAAGTCCTGTGGTCCAACAAATCAACATTTGAAATTCTTTTTGGAAATCATGGACACTGTGTCCTCTGGGCTAAAGACCACTCAGCTGGTTATCAGTGCACAGTTCAAAAGCCAGTATTCATGATGGTATAGGGCTGCATTACTGTACATGGAACGGATGATGTGCACATCTGTGAAAGGCACCATTAATGCTGAATGATATATACATGTTTTGGCAATATATGCTGCCATCCAGATGACATCTTATTCAGAGAAGGCCTTGTTTATTTCAGCAAGACAATGTCAAACCACATTCTGCACATATTACAACAGCATGGCTCTGTATTAAAAGAGTCCGGGTGCTAAACTGGCCTGCCTGCAGTCCAGACCTGTCACCACTGATAACATTTGGTAGAATGAAAAAATATGGCAAACGAGACCACAAACTGTTGAGCAGCTGAAATCCTATATCTATATACAAGAATTAGAAAACTTTCACTTTCAAAACTACAGCAGTCGGTCTCTACAGCTCCCAAACGCTTACAGAGTGTTGTTAAAAGAAGAGGTGATGAAACATTGTGGTAAACATGCCCCCCGTCCCAACTTTTTTAGAAAGTGTTGTCAATTTCAAAATGGGCATTTATCTTTCAAAAAACAATAAACATTTCTCCGTTGCAACATTTGATATGTTGTCTTTGTACTATTTTCAATTACATATAGAGTTTAAATGATTTGCACATCATTTTAATTTAATTTTGTTTTTATTTACATTCTGTACAGCGTCCCAACTGTTTTATGGAAATGGGGTTTTACATGTCACTGCTGAAGTGTTCAGTCAGATCTGCATTTGAGACTAACTACCTTCATCTTCAGCTTTGCTCAGCTAAACAGGCACACCCCTCTTACCCCTCTTACTCTCATGGTGCTCACTTCACACATAGGACTACTGTATGTAAGTGCGTGTAGGTTGTGCACATGTGTTTCTGTAAAATTACTTATGGGTGGTACTTACAGGTGGTTTTGGTTTGGTCATATGGTATTTGGTCTAAAAAGTACCACTGGTGTGTGTTAAATTTAATAATTGTAAAATACTGTAATTGTTAAGCAGTGTTTTCTTTAAGTTGGGCTGATCATGACATGATTTAGCAAAGGAAAAACGTCCCTGTTAATATCAACTTCTCTTTGTTTCAGGAAAAATAAATAAAAGGAGTAGGATGCATATACATAGATTCTGATAGAATTCTGTTACACTTTTGACTTTACAGCTGAAGTCAGTCATTGCTAAAGATTATTTGTAAATGAATAAGTTTGCTAAGCTTTGCCCCTCCTGGTTAATGTCTGACAAACATGCAGACTTTGGAGGTGTAGGTATGATCTAGTCCAAGGAATTCTTAGTGTTTTTGGAGCAATATATTCAACATTACACAAAGGAATAGACAAAATATCTCTAGTGTGCATTTGAAGGCTACATACATAACACTGATCTCTCAGTAGTCTAATAGTGATAAAAGGATAAAAAGAGAGGCTAGTGGCAGCTAAAAAGCCTCATCAAACAGCCTAGTAGCCCATGCTTGAGGCCAAACTTTGCCCTGTAATTTTATGCACATTAATGTACTACAGGTGACCTTTTTGATTCTGTTGTCTGCTGTCCACTTTTTATGTGCCTTGCCTTTTAATGTAATCATACTATGAGCCAAATTCAAAGGAAATATATTTCCATATATTTTTCCAAATAGATTTGTAATATGTTTTCATATATGATTGACATATATGTAATATTTACAACCCCATTTCCAAAAAAGTTGGGACACTGTGCAGAATGTAAATAAAAATAGAATGCAATGATGTGCAAATCAAGTAAACCATATTTTAAAGACAACTACAAAGACAACATATCAAATGTTGATACTGAGAAATTGTATTATCATTTTTTTTTAAATATGCCCACTTTGAATTTGATGCCAACAACACATGCCAAAAAAGTTGGGACGAGGCATGTTTACCACTGTTTTTCATCATCTCTTTTTTTAACAACACTCTGTAAGCGTTTGGGAACTGAGGAGTCCAGTTGCTGTAGTTTTGAAAGTGAAATGTTTTTCCTACTTGTTTGATATAGGATTTCAGCTGCTCAACAGTTCAGGGTCTCATTTGCAGTATTTTTGATTACATAAAGTGCCAAATGTTTTCAGTGGTGACAGGTCTGGATTGCAGGCAGGCCAGATTATCACTCAGACTCTTTTAATACAGAGTGATGCTGTCGTAATACGTGCAGAATGTGGTTTGGCATTGTCTTGCTGAAATAAGCAAGACCTTCTCTGAAAAAGACATCGTACTATTTGATCATGCAGTCTTTCACAGAGTGGTGAACCCCTCCCCATCTTAATTTCTGAAAGACTCAGCCTCTCTGGGATGCTTTTTTTGAACTCACGAATCACGCTACTGACCTGTTGCAAATTAACAACCAGGTGTTTTTTTTTAGCATTACGTAACTTTACCAGCCTTTTGTTGCCCCGTCCCATCTTTTTTGGAATGTGTTATTGGCATCAAATTGAAAATATATTTTTCAAAAACAATAAAAAACTTTCAATATTTGGTATATTGTCTTTGTACTATTTTCAATGAAATATAGGGTTTAAATCATTTGCATGTCATTGCATTTTGTTTTTATTTACATTTTGCACAGCGCCCCAACTTTTTCGGAAATGCGGTTGTAAAAAATGACACCACATTGCTTCTACATTTGTCCATAAATTTCAATATATTGACATATAAGGGCACATATGTGCCATTCTTCTTAATTAATTAATTGAGATAGTAATAGGCTAAAAAATATACACAATCATTATTTATAGGGTACTTTCTGTGTGGAGATCTATCCAAAACCATAACCCCTAATTCGCTTCTATTTTTTAATGTTTTTTCTGTTTTTTTAAGATCTTTTGCAGTTTTGGATTTATCATGAGTTTAATTTTTAAATAAAAAAAAACTTTATTAAAATGCTATTCCATTCTGTCCTCATTTAGTCTTACTTTTAGCTACACCCCTGCATTTTAGAGCAGGAAGTAACATGTCATCTCATAACATGTCGTGAGCAGTTAGATATCATTGTTTTGAAGTTAATGTGTCCCAAAATCTGGAAATCAGCATGTAACCTTAAGAACTCTAAATGCTGAAATACATTTTTCTGCCAATATATTTTAAAGTTTTAATAAAAATTATGATTTTATGTGTGCCTAGCTGTTCAAAGCTGTGCTTGCTAGTCATGTACTGGCTAGCATTTTTTGAGTAATGATAATTTGGCTAAAATTGTCAAAACAAATATATGTACATATTTTTTTCTGTCATATAGGGAAGCATTTTTCACTGTATTTTTATGAGTTTGATTGATTTTATTTTATATATTTTGATACATTTTAAAGTATATGATTCATAAGTTTCTTGCACACAATACGGTGGCAAAGTTCAGAAACCTTGTCAGAGGTCCCTGGGCCTAGTTACAGTTAATAAGCTACAACTGGACAATCAGTGATGATCAGTGAAGAGTGAATTTCAATGTGCAGAGGAAAACGTACAGCTTTATGGATGATCTGTACATAGTTCCTTTCATAAAGATTGACATTAAGACTGAGCCTTATTGTAATTAAACACTGAACTGTTTACCTCTAAAAATATACACTACATTTTACTATGTTACTGAAACATGTATCTTTTTAAAGTGTTGCAACACTTGCATTATAAATTTGCAAAATGTTGAAAAGGAACCTAAATTAGTTATATAATAACTTGTGCTGCCAGACACGCATACACACGCTCACACACATTCACTTATCTGGGTTTAATAATTCTAGATTGACTTATTCTGTGTTTCACATATTAAACAGTTTCCCTGTTTCTCTGTTTTCATGTTTTCATTCTGTACGTTTTAACTCTGGGTTAATGTTCTCATGAGACTTGTCTTTATTGTCTTCATTGGAAATATCACACATGATATAAATGTCAGTAAGGAAATTTATAGAAATACTCCAGCTCACAGTGAATGAAGGTTCAAAATCTATAAAAAAAGAAAAAAGAAGAAAAAAGCCCAATTGAATATCAGCATCAAAGAGTTTTCATACCAGTTGAGTGTGTATAATAAGTATACAGAACTTCTGCCACATCACTTACCCAGGAATGTGAGATGACTACAAGAACATGAACTGGTTCAACCTGTACATTCACAATAAGAAAAGTCTTTGCTGCTGATATATGCTTTCCACATGGATGCGCCAGGTCAGTGTTCAGTTCAGTGCAATATAAACACCAAGATACTTAAAGTTGCATGCAGAAGTTTGGATATTTGATGCACAGTCACTGTTTACATACAGAATTTGACATATTGGGAAAAATAAAACATAAAATGTGGTCTGTGCAAACTGTAAGGCACATTTTATTTTATATTTTTTTCCACCATGTTGAACTCAGCAGATAAATATAAATTATGATCTAAAAAGAACAGAACATAATCATATTTAAGTTCTCTGTGTATGATGTGTTAATTTCAAATAAAAAAAAAAACATGGAATTTGACCAAATGTATTCAAACGTTTGCCTTCGACTATATTAGGAGACTTAAGTAATCAAATGACCATGCATGACCACTGGCTCATAATCCTCTACTGACCTAGGATCAAGTATCATATCCTCAGTCTTCTCCACAGCAACCAAAATGCAGTCTGTGTTTATGAACTCAGCCTGTGTAAAGGTCAAAGTTACAGCTGGTGCTAACCCTGTTCTGGTGCAGTGTTTCATAATCCAGGGTTAAGACAGTGCTTTACACTCTTTTAAAATAAAAAATGTGAAACTTTGCCTTACCCAGGGTAAAATGAGACTGTGAGCCCATGTTTAAAAAGATGTTAAGTTTAGCAAAGTGTGAAACATTTATTTGTCTGTCTCATGTGACAGAAACAGGATTGTCGTAATAGGTTGGCAGCAGTCAAGTGAGTAAACATTACAAACAAAGCTAAACCCATGCTCTGCAATGGGTGATACTGGGTAAGTTGGCTGGTTTACAGGAATAAAGTGGTCAGCGCTAGCTATTATTAGCTAGCTAATAAGCTAATGGAAGACTAAGGTATCACTAGCTAACACTAGGCTGAATATCATTATCATCATCTTTTTTCTTTATTTAAGCTTGGGTTTATATTAAGGAGAATCCTCATTTTCAGTGTAGCCGTGTTTCACATAAGGAATAAAAAGCAACAAAATGAAAAAGAAACTGACTTGTAACACAATAAAACTCAATGATAAGTAATAAAAGCAATATGACAATAAAAAATAAAAGTCAAGAGCATAATAAAAAGATTTAAGCTAATCACCAAAAACAATTACTATCAGAACAAAAAATAATTAGAGAGTAAAAGGCTGAAATCCAAGAGGAACAAATAAGTCAAGTTTTAGTGTAGCTTGTACCATATCCCAGTTCCCTGGAGTACAGTAGCTAAAAGCAGATTTACCCAGCTCAGTAAATACATGGGTAGCAGAAGTGTATCTGGCTGTTAAGAGACTTGTAGATAAAAGCCAGTAAGTTCTACTGTATATGCAATATGAAGATTATATAAAGGTCTAACACACAAAAGTGTAGAAAGGTAGAAGTGTAGAATAATATAATTTAATGGGGGGAATCCTTCGCATTATATATATATATATATATATATATATATATATATATATATATATATATATATATATATATATATGCAGTTTGTTGTTTGTTGTTGTACATTACATTAAAACAATCATTCTGTTGAAAAGTTACCATTTTGGAGAAACAAACATTAATTTAGTTTCTTTAGTCCAGAAAGACAGAAAGAAAGAAAGATTTTCTTTGAAGTACTAAAATGAAGAATGGTTAAAACCAGACCTGGTCATGACATTACACAGTAATAATCCAGCAGGTATTACTGCATGCAAAGAGGTGAAAATGGACTGTCCTGCTTTGAGATTGAAAGTGTACAGGTCATGCCTTACGGGTAACTGCACACAGCTTGTGGGTGGAGGGGTGCAATGTCAAGCCCACAGCTGGAGTGAGGTCCAGCTGATCCTCAGACACACCTGGTGGAGGTGTGAAGCGAAAGTGTTGCAGGAGGGAGGTGAAGAAGAGGAAAAGCTCCATCCTGGCCAGACTCTCTCCCAGACACACCCTGCGCCCTGAAAACATATAGAGTGAAAGAACAGAACTGAAGTTACAGTATGTAATGTGTAAGACCTAAAAAGATATTTTACATACCTGCAGAAAATGGCATGAAGGCTTCTCTCTTAACAAACTGTCCTTGATCATCAAGGAAGTGTTCTGGGTTGAAGGTGTTGGGGCTCTCCCACTCATTCTCATCCCTCAACACAGATGCCAACAAAGGAACTACGCAAGTACCCTGCAAAGAACTAGAGCTTAAACCTACATAGTCAGAAGACAGTGGCAAGTTTCCATGAAAAGATAACTGCGACCTTGTCATGATCTGGTAAGGACTTACGATCGCCTGGCATATATTACGATGGCCTGGCATATTGGCATGTGTGTTTTCTGCTGCGTTTATTTTAGATCCTCAAAGACTGACCTTTTTAATGATGAAGCCCTGAAAGTGGACATCACAGGTGGTGGTGTGGGGTAAACCCATGGGTACTATGTTGGCCAGTCTCTGGGTTTCATGGATCACTGCATCAGTGTAAGGCAATTTCTTCCTGTCCTCCATCACTATCTGACAACCTCCAATCACCCTGTCAATCTCTTCCTGAACTCGATCTAGCCAACAAAAACAAGAAATATGTATTCAGACAAGATGTCTGGTGCTCTCACCATGTCTGTGTACTCTCAAGCAAGTCTTACTGCATGGGCTCATATTGCAGTTTGTATTCCCACCCTCTACATGAGGGTACTTCTCACTTCAATTTCGATATTCACAAGCAAGAGCAAGACAATCAAGAAATAACCCTCAGTAATAATCAGTTGTTTCTATATGTGGTGACGTTGCAGTCTTAGGCCCAATCTACCCCTTGTTCCGGACCATTTAGCCATACCCTTCCGTTTGCGTGTTGATGCCTAGGGGTAGAGTGCCCCGATTCTTATTGGGATAGAGGGGTAGGGCGAAGTGTTTGGGCTACATGGCGCTTCAAACGGAGGTTTTTCGGAGGCACACTCCAAACAGAGTGTTCACACACAGATCAATGTAAGAAACACAATAAGTGGACATTAAAAACAGGTTCATTAAATGTTAACCAAATCCAAAGTCACTAACGTTATACATGCCAGCTAGTATGTTGTATAGCTAGACTAACTACAACAAAATGTGTATCCAACATACCAAAAACCAATCCACTAGCATTCCTAGGTGTTAAAGACTGTTTTCTAACTTTTCTCTGATTTGCTATATACAAGTGCAAAAGGATACCCACTGGCACATTAGAAATGTCCGGCAGTCTTTTTACGTAAAAGCCATAATGTCTTTTTACGTAAAAGCCATCAGTGACTACTGATAACAGGTCAGGTTCTCAAATTTTTAAGGGAAGATTTCAACCACTGTTCTTTGTAACGCAGTTCCAAGGGGCAAGGTGACACTTAAAACCAAGGTGTAGGGGTAAAAATAAACATGGGATTGAGCCTTACTCTGCACATGAGGGTACTTGGCCATTAGCAGAAGACTCCAGCGAAGGGTTGCAGCAGTTGTGTCAGTACCAGCAGCAAACAGGTTGGTGACTGTGTGAATGAGATTCTGTTCATGGAACAGAGTGTTCTTTTCTCTGGATTCCTAACCAACGAAACAATTAGAATGAAATTGTGAAACAATTTTTTCAGTCAAAACAGCCATTAAGTCATTCATTTTCAGTGTTGGGAAAAAACAAAACACATAAATTACACAGGCCAAAGTTTATTTTTAGAAGCTAGTTGCATTTCATGCTCCTCACATTTGAAAGTAATCACAAACACATTCAGTGATGTTAAGATCTGGACTCTGTCAAGTTTCTGTGTTCTAGCACAAATGTTCTTCTTGCCTCTTTCCTTTTCTTAGTAACAGCTTCCTGACAGTAACACATCCTTTCAAACCCACAGTGTTATTATCTCAAAGTGGAGAGATGGACAGAAATACCTGTATATTTTTTTCAGATGTAAAAAAGAGTGGAGTTGAATTTTGTCCTATAACGCTTTATTGCTTTTTCCCTTTCTTCACTTATTTTGGTTTGTGTCTTCCCTTTCTGGATTAAAAATTGATTATTTTTTATCTAATCTCCTCAGAAATATCTATTTTAGCCATTTTAGAAGCACATGGGATAGAAATTTGTAAGGTAGCTAAGGTGAGTTTGGGTAGTTGCTTGTGTGAATGTGATTGTCTATTTAAAGGTAAACATAGTGTCAGTGGCTCCTTTGGGAACAACTTTTTTTTGTGGAGGACACAGCTGTAACTGGAAGATTTTAAGATTGGAAGGATAAAACAGTTAATGTGGCAACTGGGTGTACAAAACCAAAGAGTAGACAAGTTAAATACTGATAGATTTGATATTATATGTGGAAGCTGTTTTATGTGAAATATATGTTTCCTTTTTTCTGACACTGAAAAAGTAATTTGCACAAATTTTAACGCGCAAAAATTTAACTTGCACTTAACAGCCACTTGACTGGAAATTGATTAAATAAAAGGAATGAGGAAAAAGGAGGAGAGGGTAAGGTGCAAACATGTCTACAGAAGGTTGGCTCTGATTTTTGCACACTACTATGTGTGGAGCGTCACCTGCTTCCTATCTTACTTTCTCTAAAATTACATCTTACTTCTATAGACAATCTTTTCTCACCCCACCATCTTCTCCCCTTTCCTCAATCAACAATTCTGTTTATAGCTCAAAAAACATATACCTCTGCATACTGTTTGCGTACAAGAAAACAATCAACCAGGCCTCTGCTTTCCTGTGAGTTCAGTGTCTCTTGAAGACCATCCTTCAGGACCTTTATCTCTTTGATGTTTTGCTCACAGTTACTCATTATGCGTTTCCAGTTTTTTAGGCAGAAACGAAGCCAGGGAAACATGTTGTACAACTACAGGTGGACACAAGGATATACAAGACATTCATGAACATTCAAAATTGATTCATTTATAATTATTGATCCATTCATAAACACTTAATTTGTAAATATTAAATAAACTTTCCAAGTTTTGCAAAAAAAAAAAAAAAGTTGTCTGCAAATTTCCACACAGATAGATATTTTATAAAAAATGTAATTTGTAATGGAATCAAGTCATATGACTGGCCAGATACTGTGTGGTGAGAAAATAAAATGGGCTCCATAGTATCATGACTTCACGAAGCACTACTTTGTGCACCGGCTGTGCTTGTTATACCTCCATCATTCTGTCATGGAAGAAGACAGTTATGACAGGTGGCACAAGAACAAATAAAATGACGTAAAAATGATACGGTAAATGTATTTGGTCACACAGGTATAAAAACCTCAATAATTTACTAATTTGTCCCTTTCAAAGAGATATAGCTAAATGTAGGCTACATCCACACCTTATCTTATGAATACTGCTCTTATCACACTTATCTTAAAACCAAATAAAAAATCTATAGATTGCTCCAGCTACCGTCCCATTTTACTGATCAATTCAGATATAAACATCATAAGTAAAACTTTATCAATCAGATTGGAATCAGTGATCTCCGGTCTCATAAGCACAGATCAAACTGGGTTCATCAAAGGGAGACACTCCTCAGAGAATACACATCAGTTATTCAACCTAACTCATAAATAGAACAGCGAAAAATCTCCAAATATATCACCATGTGTAATAGCATCTCTGGATGCTGAAAAGGCGTTTGATAGGGTAGAGTGACTCTTTCTCTTTGCCTCTCTTAAACACTTTGGATTTGACCCATATTTTATCAACTGGATAAAAACATTATACAACTCACCTTCTGCCTCTGTCTCAACAAATAGACATACATCTAGACCCATTCAGCTACAAAGAGGAAGTCGACAAGGATGTGCTTTATCACCTTCATTGTTTTGTCTTTTTATTGAACCCTTGGCTGCTTCTATCAGACAGTGCGATAACATCTCAGGTATACAGTCAAAGTCATACCACCATAAAATCAATCTATATGCAGACAATGTTTTAGTACATATTACTAACCCTTCACTGTGCCTTCCATCAGTCCATGATCCGATAAATAAGTATATGGGACTGGGATGACGGGGTCCATGATATGCTATTTGAACATATCACACAGTCTATTAAATATCTTGGTATTCATGTCTCTTTAAACATAAACAATGTGTATAAACTTAACTATATACGTTTAATGCACGAAATAAAGGAAAATCTAGAAAGATGGAAAAAAATTATCATTAACTCTAATTGGTTGAATATCAGCAGTTAAAATGAATATCCTTCCTAAAATCAATTATCTGTTCTCTATGACCCCTGTTACCCCACCATCTCTTGATAATGCAGTCACTAAGTTCTATCGGAAGCACCAAAAGCCTCAAATCAAATTAGCTACCCTCCAGAAACCTAAAAATTTTGGAGGACTTGGAGCCCCAAATTTCTACTAGTACTTTCTATCGCACCAATTGCTTTACATCAGACATTGGACAAGCAGCCAATTAACTGTGGCTAGACATCGAGGAAAGTTTAATCCAAGAACTGGACATTAATAGTATTCCATTCATAGACAAAACTATAAAAAAAAATGTATTACAGCAACTCTCCCTCTGGTCAAACTCCTTTGTGGAACAATCCCATGTTTTTAATAAATAACAAACCTTTTATATTCTCAGCCTTGAAGCAGAGAGGAATAGCCAACCTGGCACAGTTGTTCTCTGGTGGCTTGCTCATGACCTTTGATGACATCAAAGATACAAAAAATACAGTATACCAGATAATTGTCACTTTCAGTATGTACAACTCAAAGATGTTCTAAAGAAAACAGTTAATAGTGGTAAAATAAAGATGATATAGCCAACCTGGCACAGTTGTTCTCTGGTGGCTTGCTCATGACCTTTGATGACATCAAAGATACAAAAAATACAGTATACCAGATAATTGTCACTTTCAGTATGTACAACTCAAAGATGTTCTAAAGAAAACAGTTAATAGTGGTAAAATAAAGATGATATAGCCAACCTGGCACAGTTGTTCTCTGGTGGCTTGCTCATGACCTTTGATGACATCAAAGATACAAAAAATACAGTATACCAGATAATTGTCACTTTCAGTATGTACAACTCAAAGATGTTCTAAAGAAAACAGTTAATAGTGGAAATTTTTGTAATCACACTCCCCCCTCTACTTAAAACTACAATGCCTTAAACCTCAGAAAATGTTATCTGGCAAAATATATGCAGTGACATCTTCTCTATGACCAGCAATTCAAAACTCCAGCTAATTTAATATAATATAATATAATATAATATAATATAATATAATATAATATAATAATACCCTTCACAGAACATATATTACAGCCTCTAAATTACACCGTTAGGGATTTGGTCACAGTGATGCATGCCAACATTGTCCAGCTTTAACAGACAATTACTATCATGCTTTCTGGAATTGTCCCCCAACCTAGCAGTTTTGGTCAGAGGTCATGGACAGGCTATCAGAGATTTTGGGCCTTGTCATCCCTTTATGTCCTACTGTAGCATTACTTAATGACCTTTCCTCACTTTCAGCACCCAATCACCTCAAATCCTTTATACTAATATTGCTTGCCATTGCCAAAAAAGTTATACTGCTGAACTGGAAGGACAGAACCAAAATAATACAAAACCATTCAAGGAAACCTGGTCACAATTTTTACAATATATTGAGAGCTGATTTCTCTCCCCAAACTCACCAAGAAAAGGTTAAAACCCATACATAGAATTTGATAACTACCCAAAAAAAGGAGGGGGGGGGCATTACTACCTTGTTTATTGTTCTGTTGAGTGTTTGTGTTTGTCTGTCCTGTCTTGTCTTGTCCTGTTTGTCCATTGTTGAGTATCATTATTATCATTAATTATTATTATTATTATTATTATTATTTCTTTCTCTTTACTTCTTCTGCTTTGTCTCTCAGTTATTTCTGTCTTTTCTTTCACTCAAAGCGGGGGATGGGTGGATGGGTGGGGTGGTGTTTGGAGGGGGTTGGGTGGCCACACCACACCCTGAAAAAGGGGGGTGGTGGTGTGGTCAAGGAATACTGGCCTGAAAAAAAAAAAAAAAAATGACAAAGATAACTTTTTCCCCAGATAAATGATTCCACTGGGTGGGTTACTTTCCATTTTGGACAAGTGAAAGGAGCACAGGCAGTTTCACCACTTCATTCAGCAGCTGGGACTTTATGAGAGTTACTACATAATTCATAGCTAACTATATCTAGCAAAGGCAGCCTATATTACCTATATCTCTTTAAAAGGGAAAAATTGGTAAATTATTATGGTTTTATGGCTGTCTGAACAAATAAATTTATCATCTTTAAGTCACTTTATTTGTTCTTGTGTCACCTGTCACCAGTGAACACTGATACCTTATGAATATACAGATGCACACACATACACACACACACTGCATCTAAAAATTTCAGAAAAATGTTCCTCAATACTTTGCATATCCCACCATCTACATTACATAATGTCATCAAAAGATTCAGAGAATCTGGAGAAATCCCTGTACGCAAGGGACAAGGTCAACGGTCAATATTCGATGTTCTTGATCTTCAGGCCCTCAGGCGGCACTGCATTAAAAACAGGCATGATTCTGTACTAGAAATCACCGCATGGGCTCAGGAACACTTCCAGAAATCATTGTCTGTGTACACAGTTCCCCATGCAATCCACAAATGTAAGTTAAAGCTGTACCATGCAAAGAAGAAGCCAAATGTCAACACAATCCAGAAACGCCACTCTGGGCCAAAGCTCATTTAAATATAATGAGGCAAAATGGAAAACTGTTCTGTGGTCAGACGAATCAAAACTTGACATTCAAATTGAGATGCAAAAAAGCTCAACAAACTGATCAAGAAGGCTGGCTCTGTCTTGGGATGCTCCCTGGATGGTTTGGAGGTGTTGGTTGAAAGGAGGTCACTCAATAAACTCACTGCTATCCTGAACAACACATCACACCCTCTCCATGAACTACTGGTCAGACAGTGGAGCACCTTCAGCAACAGACTCATTCAGTTCCGCTGTAGTAAGGAACGGTACAGGAGATCGTTTGTACCAACAGCGATCATACTGTGCAACACCTTGTCACTGTGCCAGGACATTATTGTATACTGAGCCACTGACAGGACAGGCCTATTAGGCAATAGCTGGACATTACATCTCTCCACTCAGATTACTGTGCACTGCCATTTTGATTATACATTGTCATTTTTCATATTGCACTGCCACTTGTGTTCTATCTATCTATCTATCTATCTATCTATCTATCTATCTATCTATCTATCTATCTATCTGTCATTAGTGCCTGTGGCGTGGGCAGCTTACATTTCTGGAAAGGCACTATCAATGCTGAAAAATATATAGAGGTTTTAAAACAAGATGTTCCCATCCAGACAACATCTTTTTCAGGAAAGGCCCTGCATATGTCAGAAAGACAATGCTAAACCACATACTGCATCCATCACAACAGCATGTCTTCCCAGACGAAGAGTCCAGGTGCTGAACTGTCCACCTGCAGTCCAGACCTTTCACCGATAGAAAACATTTGGCGCATCATGAAATGAAAAATCTAGCAAAGAAGACCCAGGACTGTTGAGCAGCTAGAATCCTACATCAGACAAGAATGGGACAACATTCCTCTCCCAAAACTCCAGCAATTGGTCTTCTCACTTCCCAGACGTTGTTAAAAGAAGAGGGGATGCGACACAAAGGTAGACATGGCCCTGTCCCAACTTTTTTAAGATGCGTTGCTGCCATCAAGTCCTAAATGAGTTAATGTTTTTCACGAAATGGTAAAATGTCTAACTTTCAAAGTCTGATGTGTTCTAAGTTCTATTGCGAATAAAATATGGGTCTATGAGATTTGCAGATCATTGCATTCTATTTAATTTACATTTTTTTACATTTTAAAAAGCATCCCAACTTTTTTGGAATTGGGGTATATGTTGTACATATTGTATAATTTTTTTTCTCACCACATAGTATCGGGTGCTCGCTTGATAGTATCTGGTAAGCATCAGATTTTTACCTAAAAAAAACATGCCACTAAAATAAAAAAAAGTGTTCCTTCAGGGGCCTCGTAGATGGAAGGTCTGTCTGCTGTAACGTTGTCTCCTGTTCTAGCTCCTGCTCAACTGGCCTTCACTGCAGCATGTCACATGCTCATCAGAAACTCATCAAACAAGGCTCAGAATTTCTTTAATTAATTTTATCACTGTTGTTGGTGAATGAGAGTTTGCCTGTTACTGACCAATAAAAAGTGATCACATGCTAGAACATGGAACACCAATACTAACAATTATCACAGCCACAGGAAGTTATGCCAGGTAGAATAAGAATTTTGATTAGTTGACATATAACCGCTGGTTGTTTGTGGTTGAAGTAAAATTTCCACAGAGGCAAGCTGAGAGAGACAAAGCAAAAATGTGCAGACTAGATTGTGGCCTACACGACAGTAGATTTGTACGGCAGAAGCCTCTATGGATATCTTCAAATCTGTGACCTGTGCTGACTATAGTTTAGGTTCTAAATTCTCCATTAAAAGTATAGCTCATGGGCATAGCTAATGGATAGATTTCAGAGTTGAAGCCCCTTAAAGTACTAAATGACAGTTCTAAATGGTTGTTCATGGAGATAATCATAGCACATAAAAAGTCCATTCTACACTGAGTTGCCAGTTTATTAGGTACCTTTGCAATTATTGTTTGCCTGGTGATTTACCTGCTTATTGTATCTCCTTCATCTCTCCCATATTTTTTTTCTCATAAGTACATTAACCTCTTTTTTGGCCAGTATGTATGCTACATTTTTATATAGTATTGTGTATATATTAAATTGCCATTTATATATCTATATTATTATATCTAACTCTAGAACAACAAAACCTCAATCCTGTTTGCCTAAGGCGCATGTAGTTGGACTGCAGCATGCAATTAATATTACATTACTTTGTAGCCCCTATTATTTAGATGGAGTAGGGTACCTGTATTGATGCTGAACCAGTTAGCCGAATGTTCTCATTAGCCCGTTTAACCATGCCTTTGAACACAGGATCACTGTACTCGAACCTGCTGCCATACACAATGGTTGAGATAATATTTGAGACAGCATAAGTCACAGGCTGTGTTGTATCAAACGGTTTTCCTGCAAGAGAGTAGGCAGCAATTAATATTTTAAGCATGTATACACCTTATCAATAAGCTATTCACATTCTCTATAAACGTGCGCACATGTACCATGGGCAGTATGAATTATTACCGTACTACTTCCTAGTTAAAATAAATAAATGCTTAAATAGTAAACAGTTCTTCCACCCTGCTGAGCAGTCCTCATCAAATAATTTTTTAATGCAACCAACTTTGCAGACATAGATCCTCATGTATATTTGACTGTATTTGTATTTCATTATTTCACTTTCTTGAAATGATTTAGTACTAAATATATATACAGTTCTGTGCAAAGGTCAGAGACCACCCTTCATTCATTTAATTTCTGACCAAAAGAGCCATTAAGTCAAGTTATATTCTTAGGTTATTCTGTGAGGGATTATATTCAAAATGAGTTCAAAAAATAAATAAAACTTTCTTAGACCCCCAACAACTGTGCAAGACCAGGTAGACCAACAAAACTGTCACAATCAGACAAACAGTACTTAAAGTTTTCATCTTCGATAGAGAGGAGAAATCCTTTTTCAGATCTGAAAACATCTCCTTTTTTCTGCCACTGAGAAATGAAAAACTTGTATCTAATGGCTGTTTTGACTGGAAATTAAATAAATAAAATGTGGTCTCTGAATTTTACCTAGTACTGTGTTTTGCTACTGCCTTGTTTGTTTTATGCTCAGACAAATTGTGTGTAATCAAACATTTGATATTTACACACATTTAATTTAAGTAGATGCTCAGCAGATGTTCCTTACATTGAATTATGTTTGTATGTGTCGAATGAAATCCTAGATTTGTATATAAGAAATGTAATAATTCTGGAAAAAACATACTGTTCATTTGGACTTGATCTTACCTTTAGACTCTTTGAACATTTCTATCAAGTAATGTGTCTCTTCTATGATTTTCTCTTCACTCCCCCTTTTGCCCATACCAAAGTCTTGAAGGGTGTTGAGGGCAAAACGTCTCATCTCTTTCCAGTTCTCCCCATTGGAAAACAGAATTCCTGTAGTTGATCATAAATAGAAACCTGATTTGTTTTTAGTTAACATGCAGTAGTTCTGCCCTGTGATGGACTGGCGACCTGTCCAGGGTGGTCACATTTGTGACATGGCTTTCATTTGAAAACTATCACAATGACTGCACTATAATCCAACTGTTTCTGATGAATAGCCCAAATTTACATTCATTCAAAACATGAATAGCAGATCTCTGTGAGAGACTGAAGCAAACTGCTGATATGTATAGTGCCTGGTGTTTTGCTAAATGCTGTAAATGTAAGTTTTTTGTGGTCTGTGTTGTGCTTTTGCACTTTGCTTTGTCATAAATAATGATAGATAAATTTCTTTTACTTACAGGGAAATTCTGATTTAAAAAAAAAAATCTGAATAATCACGTTGTAATGGTTTGATAAAATGGTAAAATGTGCTATTGTAAAGATATTAATTGTTCACAACAGGCAATAAATGCCTCTAAAAGCTACATCACAGAAAGCTAGAAGCGGTTAAGAATGTTCTGATGCCTGTAAAATTGTGCCTGTCCACCTTGCATATATTTGTTTTAAAATACCTGCAAGGTGGGCAGGCAAATGCATGGCTTTGTAAGCCAAATTAGTTCCAAAAGAAAACTGGATTTACTACTGTTTTCCTGTGAGCATCACGACATACAGAAACTCAGAAGACACATGTAGATTCACTACTTATTTTCTATAAAAAAGGCTATGTTTGCGCTGTATCCATTATGCCACCAGCTCCAGTTATCACCACTGCAAACAATAAGTTTATCTACAATGCATCATTTCACATCAAACCACTTAATTGTTTCAAAAAGATTGCATTATGCAGAATATTTGAAAAATCTGTGCTATTTGATTGTAAATAGAAACCTGATTTGTTTTTAGTTAACACGCAGTAGTTCTGCCCTGCGATGGACTGGTGACCTGTCCAGGGTGGTCACATTTGTGACATGGCTTTCATTTGAAAACTGAAAAAAAAAAATCACAATGACTGCACTATAATCCAACTGTTTCTGATGAATAGCCCAAATTTACATTCATTCAAAACATGTATAGCAGATCTCTGTGAAAGACTGAAGCAAACTGCTAATATGTATAGTGCCTGGTGTTTTGCTAAATGCTGTAAATGTAAGTTTTTTGTGGTCTGTGTTGTGCTTTTGCACTTTGCTTTGTCATAAATAATGATAAATAAATTTCTTTTACTTACAGGGAAATTCTGATTTTAAAAAAAATCGGAATAATCACGTTGTAATGGTTTGATAAAATGGTAAAATGTGCTATTGTAAAGATATTAATTGTTCACAACAGGCATTAAATGCCTCTAAAAGCTACATCACAGAAAGCTAGAAGCGGTTAAGAATGTTCTGATACCTGTAAAATTGTGCCTGTCCACCTTGCATATTTGAAGCAGCACATGGGCAGCTCTACCCACAAGCTAGGTCACATTTTGGATCTGGTCATCACTAAAGGTTTAAAAACAAAGGTGTCCAAAATGTTTTCTTATCAGATCACTTCTGTATTTTCTTTCAAATCAATTTAGAAGTAAAGAAGAAAGTACCTGAAAGTTACTTTAAAACACATTACATAGACTCAGAAACAGTTGAAAAGTTTAAAACTGTTTATAATAGTTCAGCGAATACAGATACGACTCCATCCTGTAATGATCTAGTCTCCGATCTAAGTGCTAGATTACGGGAAGGCCTTGACCTTCTCACCCCTATAAAAAGGAAGAAAAGCTCACGCACTCTTAAAAATCCATGGATGAATACGGAAATATGCCAGCTTAAGAGAAATTGTCATAAATCAGAGCGCTTATGGAGGAAAACTAAACTGCAGGTACACTATGATATTCTCAAAGAGCAGATCTCAGTCTATAATAATGCTATGAAAATATCCAGACAGTCATATCTCTCTAGTGTAATCAATAGACACAAAAATAATACCAAAATCCTTTTTTCCACTATAGACCAACTAATTAACCCTAACTTCTCTGCTAGTGCATTTAATGATGATTTATCTTCTAATATCTGTGAAGAGTTCGCAATTCATTTCCAAAATAAAATAGACCTGATACGACAGGGTGTAGCTCAGCAGACGCAAACAAGCTCCTATAATGTTCCTGATAGATCACCTACATCAGTAATGACATCTTTCTCTGTTATCAACTATGAGGAGCTCACAACTATTTTAAACAAACTAAGTTCATCCACATGTGATCTTGACCCTGTTCCTACTTCATTCCTTAAGATGTTTTTTGACTGTGTTCAAAGTGATGTTTTAACTATTGTAAATTGTTCTCTGTCAACAGGTGTTTTTCCAGATGCTTTCAAAACTGCCCTGGTGAAGTCTCTGCTAAAAAAGAGTAGCATGGATCCTTCCATACTAAATCATTTTAGACCGATTTCAAACCTACCTTTTCTAAGTAAAGTCTTAGAAAAAGCTGCTTTCAAACAACTAAATACGTATCTAATATCAAACAATTTATATGAGAAGTTTCAGTCAGGTTTTCGTTCTAAACATAGTACAGAGACAGCACTGATTCGCGTTATGAATGACCTCAGGCTCAGCACGGATGCACAAAATCCTTCTATTTTGGTTTTATTAGATCTTAGTGCAGCCTTTGATACCGTTGACCACAAGATTTTACTACAGCGTCTTGAATACTGGGTCGGCCTGGCCTCTCAGGCACAGTTCTAGAATGGTTTAAATCGTATTTAAGTAATAGGCAGTTCATGGTTTCACTTGGAAATCATTCATCAAAACGATTTGCCGTTTCTTGTGGAGTCCCCCAAGGTTCAGTCTTAGGGCCTTTGCTTTTCTCTTTGTACATGCTACCTCTAGGTGATGTCATTAGGAAACATAGTATAAATTTTCATAGCTATGCTGACGATACCCAGTTATACATTACTATTCCTTCTGAAGATCAAGACTCTGTAGACAGACTAACCAGCTGTGTGTCAGATATTTTTCAGTGGATGTCACAAAATTTACCTCTAGGTGATGTCATTAGGAAACATAGTATAAATTTTCATAGCTATGCTGACAATACCCAGTTATACATTACTATTCCTTCTGAAGATCAAGACTCTGTAGACAGACTAACCAGCTGTGTGTGAGATATTTCTCAGTGGATGTCACAAAATTTTCTACAATTAAATCATGAAAAAATTGAATTACTGATTGTTGGTACAGAAACTCAGAGAAAAATTATTTTTGAGAAAATTATTATATATTTATTTTAAAATACCTGCAAGGTGGGCAGGCAAATGCATGGTTTTGTAAGCCAAATTAGTTCCAAAAGAAAACTGGATTTACTGCTATTTTACTGTGAGCATCATGACATGTGACAGAAGGCACATGTAGATTCACTACTTATTTTCTATAAAAAAGGCTATGTTTGCGCTGTGTCCATTATGCCACCAGCGCCAGTTATCACCACTGCAAACAATAAGTTTATCTACAGTGCATCACTTTACATCAAACCACTTAATTGTTTCAAAAAGACTGCATTATGCAGAATATTTGAAAAATCTGTGGTGTTTCCCTTTCAGTAAAGTACTACCACAGATATGCTTACAGTACCATTTGTTTGATGCCATAGCAATTTTCAGCATATTAACTAAAAACCAGTGAAGCAGACAAAATAGCTAAGTTGCAAATGAATGATACAAGAATGATAAATTAAATTAAAAAATCACAAAATTACTAGTATTTGCACAAGTATTGCTCTGCTCTGGTTGCTACCTCAGTGACTGCTATGCTTATGTATGCTAGGCTATCTGCTAAACTGCTACTATGTCATAGTATGTTACATCCTCCTTTGCACAACTCCACATACTCTCAGTATACTGTCTGTGTTTTGTTTTGTATTTATTGTACGTCTTTCGTATTTACTTATTGTACTATATTGTCTGCACTGTGTATATTTTATTGTCTCACACTTATGTTCCTGTGTTGCACCATGTTCCTGGAGGAATGTTGTTTCATTTCACTGTGTACTTGTATGTAGCTGAAATGACAATAAAGCCTGACATTGTATCAAAACTAAACAAACTTACTTTGCTGAATGAAGAACAGTGGGTTAACTTTCTTACCGTATCCTTTGTTGAAGTCGTACAATATGGGATTGATATCTCTCTCTCCAAATTCCTCTGCATGATTCACCAGGGCTTGCTTGACAGTTTGATATCCTGCCAAAACAACCACTTTCTTTGGACCAAAATGCAATGTGAACACAGATCCATATTGTTTTGACATCTGCAAACAGCAACAGAAAATAAGACAGACCTTAAACGTAAGTTCTTAACATGAGGTACCATTCACAACAGTTAAATTAAAATGTCCAAACTGTGTTGTTCAAATTAATAATTTATCCATAATTATTATTATTTTTTTTTACCACAGCCCGCATATAAACACTAGTGTTATGTACCCAAAAGATTTGATGTACCCTGAATCCAAGGTGAATTCCATGGAAACAAATGTGATTTTGCTTACAAAATTTTACTGACAAAAACATTGTATGACTGGGAATTTAAAGGACATGCCATTTTCCATATTATTTTGACATCTGTCAGTTTGACAGGTCAGTTTTTACAAAGTATCCATTGTGCAAATTAATAATGTTGTAGTACTCAAATCCAAAATGAACGAGCGATCTTGTTCTCAACCTTATTTGGATTCAGTCTTGTCTCGGTCTCAGGGTAAAGTGGATTGTCATTGAGACCAGCTGAGTGCAATGCCTCTGGTTGGAATAATTGAAGGCTGAATTATTATTGAAAATCAACAAAACGAGGGTAAATAGAATAATCAGGTGTTTCCAAACTATTGCAACTTGTCTCCCACACAAATGACTACAAAAGGTTCTGTGAATTAATGAGATCTTTTTTAGACTCACCTAATGCAAAAGCTGATTTAGCAGCTACTGAATGATCAATGCCAGGTTGAAGAGAGGAAAGCTGCACACAGAGTTCTGGCTCAATTTGACAGGTTTAGATACATAATCTCTATGTTTAGTCTCCAAGCATATATAATCCCATTTCCAAAAACATTAGAATGCTGTGCAAATTGTAAAATAAAAACAGAATGCAATGATATGCAAATCATTCAAACCTTATATTTAATTGAATTAATTACCAACAGGTCAGTAATATGACTGGGTATAAAAAGAGCTTCCCAGAGATGATGAGTCTTTCAGAAAAGATGGTGAGGGGTTCACCAGTCTGTGACAGAATGCACAGGCAAATATTGTAATAATTCAATAATAGCATTTCTGAACATAAAACAGCAAAGGTCTTTCATAATCAACAGTACATAATATCATTAAATGATTCAGAGAATCAGGAGGAATCTCTGTATGTAAGGGACAAGGCTGAAAACCAGTATTGGCTGGCTGCAATTTTCAGGTCCTCAGGCGGCACTGCATTAAAAACAGACATGATTCTGTAGTGGAAAGCACTGCATGGGCTCAGGAAAATGTCAGAAAACCGTTGTCTGTGAATGCAGTTCATTGCTGAGTCCACAACTGCAAGTTAAAACTCTACCAGGCAAAAAACAAAGCCATCCATAAACGGGATCCAGTAACGTCACCGTCTTCTCTGGGCCTGAGCTCATTTAAGACGGACTGAGGCGAAGTGGAAAAGTGTCTTGTGATCCAACAAGACAAAATTTGAAATTCTTTTTTGGAAAAAAGTGGACACTGCATCCTCTGTGCTGAAGAGGAGAGGGACCCATTTCAAAAGCCAGCATCTGTGATGGTATAGGGGTGCATTAGTGCTCATGGGCATGGGTGACTTGCACATCTTTGAAGGCCCCGTTAATGCAGAATTATATATATATAGGTTTTGGAGCAACATACACTGCCATCCAGATGACTTTGCCTGCAAGAAAGACCTTGTTTATTTCAGCAAGATAATGTCAAACCACATTCTGCACGTAATACAACAGCATGGCTCCACAGTAAAAGAGTCCGGTGCTAAATTGGCCGGGCTCCAGTCCAACCTGTCACCCACTGAAAACATTTCACAGTGGTAAACATGCCCCTGTCGCAACTTTTTTGAAATATGTTGTCTGTATTTATATGTATATATATCTATATACATCTCACAACAAGAAGGGCCTGGCTTCGATTCCCTGGCTGGGTGACCAGGGTCCTTTCTGTGTGGAGTTTGCATGTTGTCTGCATGGGTTTCCTCCGGGTTCTCTGGTTTCCTCCCACAGTCCAAAGACATGCAGTCAGGCCAATTGGACATGCTAAATTGCCCCTAGGTGTGAGTGTATGTCTGTCTGTCTGACCTGTGATGGACTGGTGACCTGTCTGGGGTGTATCCTGCCTTCCGTGTGTGTGTGTATATATGGATATTTTTCAAAAAATACTAAAATGTATCCTAAAATGTGTCTCTTTCAGGGCTCTTGACTGGCACATCCATCAAGCATTGGCCCTATCATCAGTAGATTTCGAGGTCGATCTGTGAAGATGCTACAGCCATCTATAGCTGGAGTCCAGCACAAATGGCCATGCTCTTCCTGGGTGGGTACGATGGCCCCCATCTCCCCCATCACCCAGCTATCATGCTAGCTAGCGCAGATGTCTGTTAGCTGATGTAACAGAACTGGCAGTTGCCACTTTCCTCTGAGCGCGTTCAGCTCTCCAATGACTTCACCTTGGCTTGCATCACAGGTCTCGGAGAAAGCTTGTGTTGGCCCTCGCCCGCCTGTTGCTGGTGGTATCATATAACTGGGGGAGGTCTAGTGGGTGGAATTGGGTATGTCTAAATTGGGGAGAAAAATTTGGGAAAAATTAATTTAATTAAATATAGGGTTTAATTGAATTGCAAATCATTGCATTCTGGTTTTATTTAAATTTTGCACATACTATACATATGTGTGTGTATGTGTGTTTGTGTGTGTGTCAGATTCGACTACTAAAAGTCTTGGCTCGGACTCCATGTTTCGCAGTCCTGGTCCGGGTTTATATCCGGGGTGGTAAACAGTGGTCCTGGAGAGCAGGTATGTGGCACAATTTGATGATTTTCTCTCAACATTTACTAAACTTTGCAATTAGCTGCTATCAGGTGAACGAGTGAAAAAACTACCAAATCATGCAGAAGCGGAATGTGCAGTTTCTTATTTGTGTTACACCAGTACCTTGCCTTAGAGATGTCACATCACCACTTTTTCTTTTAAAATACCTATATCGAAACTTTAAGCATCAGCCAATCCTGATTCAATATTTCTTCTATAAAAAAGTATTAAGCTTTAAAATTAGCTATTTTTAATTGAAGCACTTCACTTGAGAAGTGCATCTTACAGATGTATCTTCACTTGGGATGAGCATTTCAAAAGTAGGAAATCATGCTCACACTGCTCAAACACTCTACTACCTCACAGGAAGAAATGCACAACTAAATAACATCACATCACACAGTGCAAGTGTGGCATATTTTATGCTAGATTTGTACAAGATTGGATCAGATTCATTCTTTTTTCCAGTATTCCAGCATTTTTGGCTGACACTGGGTCAATACCATCTCAGCCTTGCATCCTAGTGTTGTTCTGTCTATTCCTGGGCTCTCCAAAGTGTTTTATGAGCCAAAGTTGGCCTGTGAGTATGTTTGATTTGGCCCACCACAAAGTGAGGCCCAGCCCCTCCCAATGAGAAAACAAACAATTTTTATACTCTATATAACTTATTAATTTTAATTAATAATAAAAGGTACAAATAAATTGTTAAAAACTTTTTAAAAATGTACCTACCTTCATTCAAAGATTATAACATTGTTCTTCTTTACCCTTGGCACACCACAAAAACTGTACTTTGGCACCCAGAGATAAAAGGTTTGGGCACTTTGTTCTGTTGTTCCAAACTTTTTAAAACATAAGCAAGCACTTATGCATCATAATGTATTGTCTTTTTAGAAACAACTAGCAGAGTGAGCAGTCCTAATATAGGTCTGTCAGAGACTCTTGGCTGGAAGTGTACAGACTTGGTTTTCTATGTATAACTTGGTGCGAAGCCAAAATAAACGTGACACTACCGCATCATGATGCTGTCTTGTTATTCTAGAGAACACAGCTCAATGTCTATCAAGTTGCAAATGTGTAGAGATTTTTTACATAACTGTTTTTGTCCAGCTAACTTTTCAAAACTTGCTGACATTGCAAAGATGAATGCTATGTAGATAACCACATTGTTGGCAGGAGATATGTACTGTAATACGTCAAATCTGTCCAACCACATATTGATTCATGGTGAAAAGTCACAGATTTCAAACCACCTACAGACTTCAAACCACCTCATCAGGACTAAACTGCATTTTATAGTGTTGTTTCAGTTTTACCTTTTAGTTTTAATATGCTGGCAAGATAAATACAAGTAAATACAAAAGGACAAATACAAGTATGAATATGATACTTACACTTAGTTCCATTTATTGCTACCATTTTACGATTACTTGTAAATGAAGAGAAAAATTTGCGCAATAATTACCAAACAGAGACTCAGATAGAGTCTCTTGAGGTCAAGCTCCAGTAGGTTTCCCAGGATTGGCAGTGGCTTGGGCCCTGGAGGTTCCTTCCACTTTTGTTGAGAGTCAAACAAAAGGAGATAAACAACCAGCAGCAACATCAACACTGAGCCAAGCAATATGCCTCTGTTACTAAGTTGCAAGAGAAGCTCTTCCACCAAAGCCATTGCCAACTTAGGCAGTCTTTGCCAAGATGGGTATGAATTATATGAACAATGAGGTGAAAAGAACAAGCTAGTTAGACTGTTAGAGAGGCAGTACTTGCAGTCTATCCAGATAACCTGTCAGTAGTGGAGAGTGACCAGGGGAGGAGCTATGCTGAAAAACAAGAGTCACTAGAGAAAGCATGTGCGACTTTTAAAATCTATAATAATATTGATTTAATTCATATAGTGTTACCTTCCTTGTGAATTGTACTTTTCTTTAAGTACACTAGGACATTCTTTGCTTTGAGAAGTCACAGAAAAGTATTGAAGTATTGAATTGATGGCAGAAGGCAGGTATCAGGTTCCAATAGTTCAGAATCTTTTTTTAACAGGGTTATTTTAAGTTCAGCAGCTACCTGATTGCCCAGTATGGTCTCAGCCTGAGTACATGGCTTAACACTTGTGGCCTGTACTGTAGCACCTACTTTAATTCACATAAAAAGAACAATATGATGTTTCTTTTTTCTGCTCATATTGTATAATCCAGTGGAGTCAAAGGAGACCAGTCAATCTCTTCTCCATGGCTTGTCAGTGTGAAATGATTAAATTAACTACATAGATCAGTGGTCCTCAGACCCACTTGGACAGTCCACATTTTCCTTCATTTATTGTGAATTGGAACAAATATGTGAACCATCTAGGGTCCTCTGAGGCCCAGTTTAGGAACTACTGATGTAGATATTTGAATCTAATCTTTCCAATCATTCAAACAGGCAACTGTACAGTACAGCAACTTCCCATTGTTGACACTGACTCTTCAACAGTGTGTCAATGAGTAAAATAAAATGATGGGACAAATAAAACTAAGTAACAGGCATCATAACTCTAGGAAAGAAAAGAATACTGATTCCGCAAGTGGAAATAAATAACTTATTTTTTAAAGCAGCACTCCACCTCTCCACTGCCCTAGCCCATGCATACAAGCTTTTGAAAGCTCCATTGAGATGATATACAAATGGGTTAAGCCCTATATATGTGTATCCAAACTATATGAGGGGTTCCTTTGCTTTACTATTAGTTTTTCATCAGCTGTGTGAGCAGCTAAAAGTATATTTCATCTGACATGGATACAGTGGGCTATTTGAGAGATTAAAAAAAGAATAATCTGATGTTAAGATGTCAGGGTTGAAGCATCCACATTAAGCTGTCTCCGGAGCATGAAAAGTGCTGGATACTCCCAAAAGTAATGCAAAAAGTCCCCTAGTATCCCTAAATCACAGCTGACAGAAAGGGCTAAATGCATTTGTAAATGTTTCATAGGGGCTAAACAGAATCTAGGTAAGAGTTTTCAGTGGATAACCTGGTGTTTGGATTTTTAGAAGCCATGTCAATTATTTTCCATGTTTTTTTCTTTTTCAGGCTATTTTTCAATACGTCAAGATTAATGTCTTTTGTCCATGAAAGAAATTGTACCAAGTGTGCTTTGGAGGGATTTAAATAAAAAAGGAGTAGATGTTTGAGGCAGAATTGGAGACCCCATAAACATAGAGAACCAGAAAGTTCGACAATATCAGCCCAGTTTTATCAACCCTACACTGGTTACCAATTAAATTTCGCATTGATTATAAAATTCTATTACTGACATATAAAGCTGTAAACGGACTCGCCCCTCAGTACCTCAGTGAACTTCTCTCCTACTATGAACCATCACACCTACTTAGATCACAAGGTGCTGGGCTTACTACTAGTACCTAAAATTAATAAAGTTACATCAGGGGGGAGAGCCTTCTCATACAAAGCCCCCCAGCTTTAGAATAATCTTCCTGTTAATGTTCAGGACTCGGACACAGCCTCAGTTTTTAAGTCTAGGCTAAAAACTTACTTGTATAGTCAAGCCTTTGGCAATTGGTTTTCACTGTCAGATCTAGACCTGCCGGAGTCTCTGCTGCTCCGTTAATACTGTAATCTGTGATCGGTCACTCATTACAGAACTGACTCTCTGTCTGTTTCCTTTCTTTGCTGAGTTGAACAGCTGCCCATCCTGTGCGTCTGATGCTGTTGCCTCTTTTGCCTTGATTGGGAGCCACTGCTCGCCAGCCTTCTGGACCGGCTTGACCACCATTGAGCTTCATGCTGTATAACGCTGTTCAATCCTCACCCTCAGATGCTGCTGAATCTTGGTTCCTCTCAAGGTTTCTTCCTCCTTCTCTTTGGAGTTTTTCCTTGCCACTGTCGCCACCGGCTTGCTCATGGGGGCTCGGACCTGGATTTTCTTTTTGTAATGCTGATTTTTTTTTTCTTTCTGTAAAGCTGCTTTGTGACAACACCTGTTGTAAAAAGCACTATATAAATAAACTTTGCGTGCATGCTTTGCTTGCAGATTTGATATGTACAGATACATGAAAAATGAAGTACCAGGTGAGCTGTATTTGATCTTGATGTTCTAAAAGTTTTCTAAACCTTTATCATCATAAATGTCCCCTGAAGGTTTTATATTGCTCTGGGTCCACTGAGTGCAGTGGAAAGGGGCATTTCCAGACAGAAACTTACAGCAAAGCATCTCCACAACATCACTCTACCACCACTACCACTGTTTGATTGTTGGTATGATGGTCTCATTCTTGTGGAATGCTGTAGGGAGTCAAACATTTTAAAAAATAGTTATTCAGTAAAGCAAGTGTTGTACCTTTTTGCCGCTGTAAACTGAAATGGAGTAATTAATAAAGTACAGAACAAATGTCATGTCAATCAAATATTCTCAGGCAGAATTTCTTTGAAACCTTGAGCATGTACCATACAGAATAACTTTTTTGAATGGTTTTGTATGGTAAACAGCCTCAGTGGCAGATTCTTTTGTGAGAAGAAAGCATAAAAGAATGTTACAACAGACTCCTCAAAGTCTTTGCTCTGGGTTACATAAAAATCCAAATGCATAAGCAATATCTTAAAAAGCATATGTGCACCACGGACAAAAAAACATGGGTAAAAACCAAATAAATAAAAAACACAACGATGCTTACTGTGTATTGTCATCATACAGGACTATTTGCAGGCAGGACTGGAGTTGAGAACCGTGCCACTGAACACTGAGACCTTTACCAAGAGCTGCTGAAACATAAGATTGAATGGCACATACTACTAGAACCTGTACTTAAAACCTATTAATGGCATAAACTGTGCTTGTTTCTTTATGTTGCCTTTATGTGTGTGTTTCATTATGAACGTGCTGCAACTGTCACTAGATGACAGTGTTTAATGTGGGATTACACTCGCAATGAGAATTCTAATTCACTAATTAATGACAGTTTTTTTTTCTCCACACCCAGTACCAATAGGGTTTGAGTCTACCCATACAGAAATCTAATATATGGCAATATATGGGCTTTCCTTGGGATTTCCTTTATATCCAACTTATATTTCTGAAATATGGACATACATGTGATATATATATGCCAACGTATTTGAAACTGGCCTTTTTTTTAAATATAAGACTTCTTCCTCAGCCATATTAACATATGCAAACATAGTAAAATATAAGATTAATTAACCTGTCAACCATGCCTTTAAAAAGAAGATCACTGAATTTAAACCTACTTCCATACACAATGTTTCTAACTGTATTTGGAACAGCATAATTCACAGGCTGTATGGTATCAAATGGTACAATAAGCAACAATAAACACTTAAGTAAACACTTCTCTTAAATAACACATCTATGATTTGCTTTATTTGGGAATTATGTAGTAGTTTCAGCTGAGTGAGAGAAAGACAAATAAAAAAAATCAAGAATCAAATTCAGCAAAAAGCTTTCTGGTTATTTGCACAGATAATTAATTTAAAAAATCCCACTAGTCAATAATTCACAAAGTGAACGGATAAAGTGAGAGATCATATACAAAGAGTATTAAGGCTGGATAAGCAAACAGGTGGGAATGTTCAAGTGAAAATTTGGAAACAGATCAGTACTTGGGATTTTGGATGGCCAAAGGGTATTTATGACAATATTATGCAGACTTGCATTCCTAAAAAAATATTATTATGTATGTGCTGTGTTTATTCAAAGCTTGATGATAATAAGTGCTAAAAAGATCCTCATTGCTTGCACAGTCACTGATGTAGAGGCTAATCAATAGAAACATGATATTAGGCTTTCAAGCAGTATTCTTTTGCATCAAAAAAAAAAAAAAGAAAAAACAGTTCAAACAACCAGAAAGTACCCATCTATAAGTGTTCAAAGTGTAGTTTTTCAAAAGTCCCTCCCACTTTCAACACACATCTTTTGAAGGGGTTCTCATAGTCTTTAAACCGGAAGATCTTGCTCTAGAGACTACTGTGGCACCATTGTAAAAGGTAAGTAGGAACGTTCAAAACAGATGTAGTGATGCTTATATAATTAATTTTGGCTGGAGTGTCCCTTCAAAGGGAATTTCCTTAAATGTTTAAGATGTAAACAAAGTCAAGAAATGCTCCATTCTTACCAAGTACAAATTGTTCAGTGGTGCTGATAGGAACCAGACATCTGAAGAGTTAAATACCTCTAAATGCTATGAAAGTTATTACATAAAGTAGTTAATAATATGCTGTCTGCTGCCTGAGACATTATTTTACAATAGTTTTGAGAAGTTGGTGGATAGGTACAGGCAGGGTGTTGTAAGACAAATTAGTCCCAAAGAAAACTTTTTTTCAGGTTTTCCACTATTTTACCATTAATGACATTACATATAAAACCTCAGAAGACACATGTAGATTCGCTGGTGGTTTTGGATAGTAAATAAAATTAA